CCGTGCCGCGCCCCCGCCCCAATCCTGTCCTGGAGAAGCCTCCTTCCCTCTAGACAACAGTCTCCTTTGCCAGCACCTCCAGACCACCGTAGGAAGCCCCTTCCCTGACCCATCCTTACCTGTGGCCCTCTCCTCTGTCCCCTCCCTGCTCTTCAGCTGTGTCCCCAGGGCCCAGGCCCAGCAGCCGCCCTCCCTGTACCCCCGAGGGGGCAGGGCCAGTCTTGACCCTGGGGTAGAGGTGACGTGACCACAGCACCCAGCTCTAGGCATCACCCAGACCCCTCTGGGTCTCTCCCGCCCCACGGCTGGGGTGGCTTCCACCTTCTTTCCAGCATCACTGCTGTACCCAGCGCTGCCAGCTGACCCAGTGCCCCGGGAGTGGGGGCACAGACACCCAGGCAAGGACACTGCCCTCAGGAAGCCGGGTGGCCTCCCCCCCCACGCCTGGCAGCACTGCCTGGGCCCTCGGGCCTGCCCCGCTGGCTGTCCCGCCACTCCTCTGGAAGTCCTTCCCAAGGGGTGGCCCGCCACCCTGGCAGAGCCTGCAGAGTCTTACAGAACATTTCAGGTGGGGACAGGGCTTGGCCCAAATTCTATCTAAAAGACGCATGTGGTCCATGGGGCTGGAAACGTGGTGTAGTAGAAGGTGACCAGGTGACCTTAGCCTTGTGAGATGCAACCTTCGAACCAGCCGTGGTGTCCTCGCCTGAGGAATGGGGTCATAGAACTCCTGCCTCGAAATGCAGATGACATCTTGGCATGTCACCAGCGTCTCCCGGGGAAGCTTCTGCTTTCCTCACCCTGGGCCATCCTGGGCTACTCCACTCCCCACCTCCCTCAGCCCTCCCGCCCAAGCCTACCTACACTGCGTTTGTACTTGACACAGAATTAGGCTGGTCCTTGTCTCGTGGGCTTCCGTAACAGTTCTTCTAGGGACCCAGGAATGCTGTCTTAGGAGACACACCAGGAAGTCCCAAGAGGCAGCAGCTGCACCCCGCTGTCCACAGCCCTTGCTGACTCGGGGCTCTTCGGAGGTAGACATTGTGCCTCCCGTCAGCCTGGGATTTCACCAAGCCAGGGACCCAGCCCCTTCTGTCACACTGGGGCTTCTGCCATCCGACGGGGCTATACCCTGACTGGCGCTGAGCCTTCCCTGCAGACTGGGGGCTGCCCACAAGGTAGGCGCCATGTGTCTGATGCCAAGGTCCACTGGAGAAAGTTCCTGAATATCCTTCAAGATGTGGACTCATGGCCAGAGGCAGGATAGTAAGGAGGGACCTGGGGGTGACCCAGGTATAAGGCATGAGACACAAGCCGGCACGCAGCCCTGACCCCAGAGTAAATACACAACATCAGCTCCTCAGCCCCGAGTCAGCATGGAAGGGGCGGGGACAGGGACCCTAGTGGTGGGGAGTTGTCCCCCAGGTCATCTGGACACAGGACGCTCACTCTTTCCAATGCCCCCATAGGTCATCTGTGGCCAGGATGATGGTCCCCATGGCTCCGAGGACCCTGAGCGTGATGACCATGACAGCCAGCCCCGGCCCCGGGTCCCTCGGAAACGGGGCCACATCTCACCGAAGTCCCGCCCCCTGGCCAACTCCACTCTCCTAGGGCTGCTGGCTCCACCTGGTTCTGAAGCTTGGGGTATCCTCGGGCAGCCCCCCAACCGCCCAAACCACAGCCCCCCACCCTCAGCCAAGGTGAAGAAAATATTTGGCTGGGGTGACTTCTACGCCAACATCAAGACGGTGGCCCTGAACCTGCTGGTCACGGGGAAGATTGTGGACCACGGCAACGGGACTTTCAGCGTCCACTTCCGCCACAATGCCACAGGCCAGGGCAACATCTCCATCAGCCTTGTGCCCCCCAGCAAAGCCGTGGAGTTCCACCAGGAACAGCAGATCTTCATCGAAGCCAAGGCTTCCAAAATCTTCAACTGCCGCATGGAGTGGGAGAAGGTGGAACGGGGCCGCCGGACCTCGCTCTGCACCCACGACCCAGCCAAGACCTGCTCCCGTGACCACTCCCAGAGCTCGGCCACCTGGAGCTGCTCCCAGCCCTTCAAGGTCGTCTGCGTCTACATTGCCTTCTACAGCACGGACTATCGGCTGGTCCAGAAGGTGTGCCCAGACTACAACTACCACAGCGACACCCCCTACTACCCCTCTGGCTGACTCTGGGCAGGCTTTGGAGGCCAGGTTAGGGCTGGGAGGGTGGGCCTGCCCCTGCAGGACGCCATCTGCCTGGGCACCGGGCGGGGAGGGGGATGGAAGGGCTGCAGGCAGGAGGGAGACTAGGAGGTGTGGGCGGGCCGTCTCAGTGGTCAGCCAGAGGCCATTGTCCCAGGCTGTCCTCAGCCCTAGGCTGTGCAGCCACTAGAAGGCAGGAGCCTCTCAGGGCCGGGCTTTCCCACCAAGCTGCAGGCCAATGCCAGCTCCAGGCCTCTGGCCGGGCAGACTGTGGTGGCCCTGGGTCAAGTCAACAGAGGAGACCCTAAGCCCTTGGGTCCCTCTCTACCCTCCTGAGGACAGCAGTGGCAGAGGGGGTTTCAGGAGCCAGCCTAGGGTGCAGGGCTGAGACAGTGCGTCCCAGGAGGACGCAGTGGGCAACCCAAGCCCCTTCCCTGCCCGAGCCCGGTGAGAGGCTGAGGTGCTGACCCTTGAGGTCTTTGTAGTGACAGGGTCCCTCGTCTCCAGCCAGGCCACCCCTTTCCACAGTTCCCCTCCTGCCAGCACTCCACACCCGCTGTTAGCACACCTGTCCTCAGGCCGCGACAGGATGGTGCTGGTCTTCCCGGCACCAGGGCCACCAGTAGGCACTCACCCGTGTCATGTGTCCCTCCGCCACCACACCCCCTGCCAAGAGTGGTCCATCCATAGTCGGCCCTGCCTGTCAGACGGGGGCCCTCCCTCCCCATCCTTGGGGTGGCCAACGTGTGGGCGGGAGGCTGCCCCCAGGACCCGGGTCGCTCCCTCGTGTCTGTCTGTGGGTGGGGGGAGGGGCGGGAAGTCTTGTGAAATCACCTGACCGTGGACTTCTGTGTGCAGAGTCTTGTCCTTGGGGCAGGGAATAAAGCTTTCCCCAGGCCACAGCCTTCTGAGTTGTCCCCTGGTCCTGCCAGTATTTCTCAGATGGCAGTCGGACATTGCTGGGGACCGGAGTGCGAGGGTCCCATCACCTTGGAGCCAGTGCTCAGCGGCCAGGCCCTTCCGGCTCTCAGCCAGTGGTGATGGTGCGATCGGCCAGAGCAGGGCGCTGCTTGTCCTCCCTGAACGGCTACCCGAGGCCCCTCGGGGCAAGGGTGGTGTCCAGTGCTCTTAGCTCTTAGCTCTGCCGTTGCTTCTCTGTGTGGCCTTGCCCGGTTGCCCTCTATGACACTAGGGCCTTGCCCGGAGCGTGGGTTCGCAGAGGAAGTGAGCGTGGGAATCACAGATCTCCGGTCCTCCCTACTCAGTAGGTCTGAGTGGGGCCTGAGGGCTTGTGACTGTAATCAGTGCCCAGCTGGACGCTGCTGCAGCTGTCAGGTGCCCCGAAAGTCGCCTGTCACCCCCAAGCTCCTTTCTGGCTCTGGCTCTGAAGGGGGAGATGAATCCCCTGAGCCCTTGCCTGGTTAAGGCTGTGTCCTTGTCTCAGGGCAGGGTCCTTTCCCAGGGCCCAGCCCACTAGTGAGAGGGCAGGCTGGGGTGACCTGGGGATGAGGGGTCCCCACAGTAGCCACTGCTTCCCCTGGTTGGCAGGAGGCCTGCAGGATGGACGCACACGAGCATCCTCGCCAGGGGTTGGCTGGGCCTCGTGACAGGAAGGCTGGAGTCCTACGCACAGCGCCCTGGAGGCCACTCTGGGTCCACTCTCTCGGGTCTCTCTTGGCAGTGTTGCCACGGTAGGGAAGTCCTAGCGCGCAGGTTCGATGCCACCTCTGCCTGTGCCCGGCTGTTGTTACCCCCACCCCCTTAGCCATGCAGTGTAGAGCCGAGGGTTTGGGGAGCAGCGTCCCTGCAGCGCTCCCCACCCCAGTATAAGGTGACCGGGAAGGGCACCTGGAGCTCCCGCCTCCACTCCAGTGTCCCCGCCTTCTGTTTCCTAGGCCACTTCTGAGCAGACTGGAGACTTGCCTGGCCCTCTAGGCCTCTCTCCTTGCCCAGGGGGCCCAGGCTTTGGCCCTGTGGAGGAAGGCATAGACCGCTGGGGTCTGGAGGACCCCTGGCCCTGTGGACATTCCAACAGCATCCGGGAGCAGTGCCCTGGCCTGTGGGATCTGGGGCAGGACAGGAAGGAGTGGCCAGGGCCCCTTGCCTGTGGACCTGGGGTACTGTGACCCCTCCTCCTCCTCCTCCCACAGAGAGCCAGATGCTGCCGACAGCTGGAGGGCCCGGCCTTCCTGGCACACAGTGCTGCCCGCGCAGGGGGTGGGTTCATTTTAATAACTTCATTTCGCCCTCACGCACACTCCGCGCCTCATTCCTCCTTCTCTGCCTCCCCAGTAACCAGGCTGCTGTTCTCAGCTCAGATTCTGCTAACAGATTTCCACCCAAATCTGCCTTCTTTGGAGTGGCCCGCTGGGTCCCTACCGCTCTTGCCAGCTACTTCCTGAGCCCCCTGGTCCTAACGACTTCCTCTGACTGAGAAGACGCCCACCCCACACCTCATGTATCTATGTGCACCCCTCGGAACTGACCCTGGGCACCCCAAGTGCCCCGACCTCCGCCCTTTCCATCCCAGCCCTCCTTCAGAGAAGACCTCCTCAGAGTAGCCCGTCTCTTCCCGAGAGGGTCGGGGTCCTAGCCTCACACCGACTCTTTGGCTTTCCTGCACCACACTCCAGGGCAGTCTGAAATCTCATCATGCCCGGGGACCAGGCAGGGGCCTTGCAGCGGGCACCCAGCCTGCCCAGAGCCTTCTCCGCTAGAGCGGGAAACTGCTGGGGACCCTGGGGCAGAGGCTGGGCCTCCCTTATCTAATGGGAGCCTCCCTGAGGCCAAGAGTGGTCCTCCGGATGGACGGCCATTCTTGCTGTTTGCTAAGCCCAGCACAGCTGGAGGCCGCCTGTCCCTGTGCTCCGTGCACACTGCCTGGCCTCAGCCTCCTGTCTCTAGAGGCAGATGGTCCCTCATCTGAGAGGGGATGTGTGTCAGGTCAGCTGGCACTGAGTGTCCCTCTCCGAGAGGCTGTCCCTCCCCTTCCCCTCGCCTCCTTCCCTGGGTGAGCAGGCGGGAACTGAGTCACCCTTTCCCCATCCTTGGCAGGATCGCCCATGACCTTGCGCATGGCAGATTCCTCCAGTGAGTCCATTGCTAAGGCTCCTACCTGAGGACAGAGCAGCCAAGGAGGGAAGGATGGGCTCAAGCCGGGCCTTGCGGCGGGTTGGCGGGGGGCGGGGGGGGGGGGGGGGGGGAAGCTGCGGGAGGGGACTTGGGGGGCAGCTGAAGGTCACAGGGCGATCAGGGACTGGAATGCTGCAGGGAGACACGGTGAGCCTGTCGCCCTGCAGGAAGCAGTCAGGGGAATGGTGGGGTGCGGGCGGCACCTGCACTGACGCCAGAGCCCTCCTGGGGTGGCAGCTGAAGCCATCTCCAAGGCACAAATGCCAAGGGAGACCTAGCGCTTGCCAGCTGGGGGCTGGGAGCTGGCTCTACCGGGACCTCACTTCCTGTTGGCTGCCGGTTCACAGGCTGAGCTGACAGTAAGTCACGCCAAGGTACCTAATCCAGGGTGCCCACCTAGGTGGCCCCAAGGGACAAGCCAGCTCCTCCCGAACCAATGAACTGTCAATGTGGAACTCGGTGTGGTGGCGCCTGCCCGTAATCCCAGCACTCTGGGAGCCTGAGGCAGGAGGACTTCAAGTTTGAGCTCAGCCTGGCCAATTTAGCAACTCAATGAGAACCTGTCTCAAAATAAAAAAGATGCTGGGGGATGCAGCTCAGAAGGCCCTGCATTTAATCCCTGGTAGAGGGATTGGGTGTCGATGTGGGTGTGAGGGGAGCTCTGGGTTCCCACCTAGGTCTTGTCATTTACTAGCTGAGTGGCCTTGGATGAATGACACAATCTCCCAGAGCCTCCTTACATAAAAAAACTGTCATTCTACCTACCTGGAGGTACTGGGAAAATTAAACGAGTAGTTCATCAAATGCTACTTTCCCTGCTGGCACATGCCTGCCATCCCAGCCCTCAGGAGGCTGAGGCAGAAGGAACTCATGAGTTTGAGGCCAGCCTGGACTACATAGAGAGTTCAAGGCCAGCCTGAACTGCATAGCCAGACTGTCTCAGACAAACAAAATAAAAATTCTGGGCCGGGGATTTAGCTCAGTGGTGCCACCACCTGCCTCAAAAGTGCAAGGACTGGAGTTAGATCCCTGGTACCAAAAGCAAACAAAACAAAAATGCTACTTCCTCCTCTGTTTTGGAGACAGGGTCACTGAACTTCAGCCGTGCACTGCTGTGGACCACAGAAGGGCTCAGGCTGGAAGGAGGAGTCCTGGGCTCCTGTCCTGGTTCTGCCCTCTGATGCATGTGGCAGGGGAGGCAATCGCCCCTCCTAATCGGCTTCCTCTTTCTCCTTTATGATGGGGTCCTCAGCTGTTAGCTGGCCACATGGCTGCCTGGATTAATATAAATTTCTCTGCCTCCTTTCACCTACACATAGCCACTTGCCCAAGATCTGGTCAATGACATTTAAGCCAAGGGATGATATAGGAGGGTCTAGAATTATTTTATTTTACATTTAATGTTTTTTGCAAAACTAGTGGTGAACCCAGAGACAGATGCTCTGACACTGAGCTACATCCCCAGAACTTTCTGGTTTTGTTGTTGTTTGATAGAGTCTTGCCAAGTTGCCCAAACTGGGCTTGAATTTGAGATCTTCATGACTCAGCCTCCCGAGTTACTGGGATCAATGGGCGCACCACTGCACCCAGTTTAGAAACCTTTGCTCCTTTATTCCATCCTCTGCCCTGTTCCCTGCCATTTTAGACTGGAAGCAGCCGTGGCGAGCTGAAGAAACCTTATTTAAACCTCTGTGCCCTGGGCTTGGGCCTCCGGTTGGAGCTCTTTCTCCTGTGGACCTGTGTCCTCATCTTCGGGGCTGAGATGACACCCGCAGAGTCACCGCACACTGGGGAGGCTTAGGCTTAAAGGCCAAGGGGCACTTGGGAAGCATGGTCCTTCTCCTCCCCTCCGAGGCCTCCATTTTTGGAGGTGCAATAGCTGCTTGACTGCAGGAACCCTAAGAGGCACTCAGAAGGGTCTTCTCTCCTAGTCTGAGGGTCCTCCAGAACCTGAGTTCAGCCCCACACATCTGAGTCCCCGTCCACGGTCTGCTGTCGGTGACACACAATCCTCGGTAAGGGCCTGACTGATCCCAGCCAGATGGGATCCTAATTTAATTAAAACCCTTTAATTACCTACCACAACACAGCTCCGGAAGGCCCGGGCAGAAGGGGGTCTGGACGGGGGTGGGGGACTGCCCTTCCAGGCCTCAGCAGCCAGGGTTTTGAGGAGTTGCTCCCACTGGTGAGCACAAGCCACACGGAAGGGACAGCCAGGGTGGCCCGGCTTCTGGCTTGGTCCGTGGTGCTCACAGAACAGGGCTGGGGCAGGCCAGCCTTTGGGAACCCTGTGCCAGGCTCAGGCCTGGAGCCGTTGGCGTCACTTTGGAGCTGGGAGACCAGCACGGGCCTTTTAAGGTCAGGTGTGAGCCCCCGAGCCCCTGGCCTGGCCCAGCATGCACTGGGTAGGGGCAGGCCTGGCCTCCACGTCTGCCCATTTCTCTCCCGGCTTAAGCGATGGGGGCACCTCTTCACCCTAGGACAGCTGTGCCTCTAGAAATCGTCTTTCCTCAAGATGCTCTCGTGTTGGGGAGGGAGGGTCCAGGGGGTGACTTAGGTGGGCCACAGTGGGGACACAGAGCCCCCACCATGGTGCTGGGCCTCCGCGGTTCCTCCCCATGAAGGCAGAAGGAGCCCGGCCAGGCCACAGCGTGCCAAGGCCTGGCACGGACAGACATAGCAACCCAGACTCGCAAGCTGGGCTATTTTTAGGCCCCGTGGACATCATCGTTAATACCCCTTCTGTTCTCCCTTAGTCCTTATCCACTCGGCAAATATTGTTTAATAAAAGCCTCTGAAAGTTCCAGCTGGTCTCCGCGGGCGGGGAACCCAGAGGCAGAGGTGTTGGTTCACACTGGAACTGCTGCCCTACAGCAAAGGTTTTGTTGGGGGTTGTGGGATACCA